CCAGGCTGCCGAAAAAGACTCTTCTCATATATCAAGAGAAGAACACGTAAGAGTGATGCTATCCCACCTCTTATGCTTGAAGACGACCAGACAAACATGGCTGAGGATAACTTGACTAAGGCTGAGGCTTTGTCCAAGCACTTTAGTCAAGTATTCTCTGATAATATTGATACCAGCTTTGTAACTTTTCCAGAAGGTAACTTGAAAATGGCACCCTTATACATTGGAAAGGACACTGTCCTAAAGTGGCTTCTAAGGCTCAATCCTGGTAAGTCCAGTGGCCCTGATGAACTCCACCCACATATATTAACAGCATTGGCTGAAAACATAGCCGAGCCAAGCCATTGTCGGTAATCTTCAATATATCTCTGGACCAGTCTAAATGTCCAAGAGACTGACTGGAAAGAAGCCATCATTAGTCCGGTCTTCAAAACCGGATCTAGAAACTTAGTTCAGAACTATCGTCCTGTTAGTTTGACCAGTATTGTTGTTAAACTACTAGAAAGAATAATTCGTGTTGCTATCACATTCAGTTCATTGAAGGGAACAAACTTTTCGCTGTGGAACAGCATGGTTTTAGAGCAAGCAGGTCATTCTTGCTTGACCAACCTTCTTTTGGCCAGAGAAAGTTGGGCAAACTCAGCTGATGCTAATATACCGGTGGATGCCATGTTCATCGACCTTAGCAAGGCATTTGACAGGGTTTCTCATTCAGGTCTTCTAGTAAAGTTAGGCAGTCTGGGAATCAATAAAGTGGTCGCCGACTGGATTCAAGACTTTCTAAAGGACAGAAGACAAAGAGTACGAGTTAACGGGGTTTTATCAACATGGGAATCGGTTAAGAGTGGCGTTCCTCAGGGTACAATTCTAGGCCCACTTCTTTTCCTGATTTATGTTAATGAGATTCCATCGGTAGTTAAGTCATCCTGCTTACTGTTTGCTGATGACATCAAGATATGGAGGGCTTTACACGATGACAGTGATCAACTTGCTTTGCAGGAAGATTTAAACTTGTTAAGTGATTGGTGTAAGCACTGGGCTTTGGAGATTAACTTAAGCAAGAGTGTAGTTATGCATGTATCTCATAGTCACGTGCACAATTACTCAATGGATGGCATTGCTCTCCCAGTGGTCACTGAGTACAAGGACTTGGGAGTGGTTGTGCAGCATGACTTGAAAACAGCAACAAACTGTAGAGCTGCAGCCACTAAGGGTTTTCGAATATTATGGGCCATACGCAAGCAAGGCTTTTGCGAACTTTGACGCTGATATATTTCGTATATTATATCCGACTTATATCAGACCTCATTTGGAATATGGGATCCAGGCAGCGAGCCCGTGTTTCAAATACGAAATAGACTTATTAGAAAGGGTGCAAAGAGTAGGATCTAAGCTAATAAAGGGTTTCTCAACCCTCTCATATGAGGAGAGGTTAAGTCGACTGGGTTTATTTCCACTGTCATACAGACGACTTAGGGGTGACCTGATACTAGCATACCGTATCCTAAGAAATGATTTTGGAGCTAATTTATCTAATTTATTTCTTCCTTCTAGCACCAACCAATTGCGAGGACATCACCTCAAGGTTCAAAAACCACGGTCGAATCGACTGCGTCTGGAGATCCGTTTTTCGCATCGAATTGTGAACCATTGGAACTCCCTATCGGAGCACGTCGTATCAGCGCCATCCGCTGATTCATTCAAGGCGGGATTGGACCTCCTGTGTGTAACAAATCGAAAGGATTAACACAGGCATATAGCCTACTATCCTAAATAAATTGTAAACTAAAATCCAATTTGTCTGATGAACCCTATCACAGCAAGAGAAACCCGGGTCAGATTTAGGCACGAATAGTAACCGAGCGACGTTGTTTTGCGGATTTCGGCGAGTCATTTTACCAGGGCCCTCATACCATATCACTCCTCAAACTTGAAAGTCTAGAAATCATATATGCTCTGTTCACTTGAATCAACCAATTCGGCGTAATTATCTGGCTTCCTAGTGAAGATCGTTACGAACCTGGAAGAAAGGAAAGCTTCTTAGACGAGTATATTGGGGAACTCCTGAGAAAAAGCTATCTGCTGTGCTACACTCAGCAGACCTTCAGAAAGGCTGATCCATTCAGTTGTAACTTCCTGGCAGCTTCTGAACATTGAAGAATACTTCTAGAGCAGAAAACTGCAGTATTTCTGCTGTCCCTAGATTTAGCACAAGATTTAGATTCCGTTTTCTGCTAAGAAAAGCCGTCGACGATGACCAGTGTGTGTTTTATCCCAGTGAATGACAGTACGCCGTGTGATAACTGCAGCTGATGGTTCCACTATAAATGAATTATTCCGACTCCTGCAGCACGCACACTTTGCCGTTAAGTGCCTGCAAAGACTGTCGAAGTACGAAGAGATATCTTATAAAGGAAATAAAGCTCTTGTAGCACAAACGCTCAGACAAAGTGGAAAAATAAAGTGGAACGGACTCGGAAGTTAAGTTTGAAAGTGACCCAATTCTTAGAAGAGAGATTATTATTTAAGTTACTCCCCCACGACAGTAGCAGACGTCACTATTCACAGTCCATACACAATCGACAGAACGACCGAATCAGCAATCCAACAATCTGCACACCTTCGCCAAGTCCTAGTAAACTCTGAGACCGATGAAGACTCTATTCTGGCCAATATTAACTCTCACAAGTGACCGAGCAACCATGCATAACTGACCGTATCAAACAGCAGTTTTATAATTAGAATAAACAGAACGACGCAACACTGGCAAGAGGAATCTTATCATCTAGGATTTTCGGTTAGGGAAGTTTGGAAGCCTCATGACCCCGCGTGGGCCCAACTAGATGACTTGAACTGCCTTTGCGAGAGGGAAAGATTTTTTCTCATGTATAATCTGAGAGATGTGTAGTCTACTTGAACGGAATCATAAGTACTGGGTTATATGCACCAATCTTAGGACTTCAGTGGCCAGAAGGCTGCACACCAGACCTAGAAATAAATCTATTACAGCGACCCGTCAATTGCGAATGCACCTGGCACAAAATGAAATGACACACCCGAAGAAATAATCGTTGAGCACTATGGACAACTCGCCGTAAGCTCTTACCTGGCTGGCTGCATGAATTCGAGTAGAGTGCCTTGATCAGTACAATGTATTTTATCGTCATTCCTTTCACAACCAATCATCACCATAGTACCTCTCGGTCGACAGAATCGAATGCCGCCTTTAGGTCAAGAAATATGACGATTGTTGGATGCTGGTAAGTATGCCTATGTACCAGAATCTGTTGGAGGGTGAGGATATGATCAATACACCTGCTTCCTGGTCTAAAGCCTGCCTGGCTCTCTCGTGTTTTTGCCTCTTGAGCACCACTTAGTCTACGCAAAATTATTGAGCCTATGACTTTAGATACTATATTAGTCAAGCTAATCCCTCTGTGATTATCACAGGAAGACTCGTCTCCCTTCTTGTATGTCGGGATAATCAGTGACTTACACCAACTCGACGGGACTTCCTCTGATTCCCAGACGTTGCCTAATCCCCTAGTTAACCCAGACAGTAAACTGTCTCCACCGTATTTAAATACCGCTGGAGTCATTCCATCAGCTCCTGCTGCTTAGACTTGTTTCAGACTAGTGACAGCCTTAGTAACCTCAGTTAGGGACGGAGGACTTGTGTCTATATCCCATTCAGAGAGGTGTTGGATGTTCGGCAGGTTGAGCGTAGCTGTAGACCAACTGAATTGCTCCTCAAAGTTTTCTTTCCAGCGTTCCACTCGTCTATCCTGAGAGCTAATAAAGGTGCCATTTTTCTCCGAGATTGCTTCACTTATCATTTGCCTTTTCCCACCTGTTTCCCTGATAAGCCTGAATAGTTGTCTGGTGTTACCAATCGCCGATGCCTTTTCAATCTCTTTCGCTTTCTTCACCCCCCCCCCACTGTTCGCGGTCATTGAGGAGACTTCTTGTCAGTTTGCGTTTGAGCAGCTTTCACTCCTCATCATAATCGGAGCTCGACGGAATCAGTTTTCTTGCGTCAATCAGTTCGGATGAGGTGGTAGAAATCCAGTGGCTCTTACTAACTTTAGGTTTCAGGTTATTAACAGCTTTTACAGCTAACCGCAGGTCGTCAGGAGGAGTCCTGCTGTGTTGGGGAAGTAACTGCTTCGCTGCCAACAATTTATGTCCATTCAGACGTAAGTATAAGCTTGCGCGGACCAGAGCGTGGTCGGAGTCTACGCACATGTTCCAAAAGGAGCGGCAGTCTTCTACTGACCTTCGACAACAATACCCCACCGCTATGTGGTCTATCTGAGTCCAACGTTGATTTGGTGATAGAGGTCGCCAGATCACGCAATGTCTCTCTTTGTGCCTAAAGTTAGTGCTGACCAGGAACAGATGATTATCTGAACAGAACTGTAAAAGAAGACAATCACCGTTGTCGCTTCGTCGACATGGAATTCCATACGTACCACCTATATACTTCTCAATCTGGCACAACTTCCCTACTTGGATATTGAAGTCGCTGAAACAACTATATCTGAACGTCGGGATGTACAATTTTTGGGGTCGACCTTTTCTAACCCCTTCTGTCCAGAGTGGAGAGACAGCATAGTGTAAATAAATTCTTACACTATGCTGTTAACTGATCACCATCCTTACCTAACAATTACAATCATATTATCATTTCTGAATGTACATTATCCCATATTGATTTTTATTCGAATGTCTAGTCATCAATTTCACTCATGTGTATATAAATGAAGAAAAAAAAGCTGTGTGAGTAACTTGATATGATTATGGGCAGTAATAATTTGTGCTCGAAATGTGGTCATCAGTTAATATTACTGTATAACAACACTGTGTGATAACAGTTTATCAAAATAAAATCTTATCCATAATGGAGATATAATATACAAATGTTATAATATAATATACGCATATATACATATGTACAGAAATGCTTAAACGTAGTAAACAAAAATGTAGGAAAAAATATATTATGGAGAAAATTGAGAGATAATCTTTGTAGCCTGTTCAAATAAATCAGTTAAATGCTTTCGAGCACGTTGAAACAAATGAAATGAAGTTCCATAATACTTTTCAAGATATAAAACAAGACGTTTACATTCGTATAGAGAAAAAAGTAATACAGCCGAATGACTTATTGCATTAATAGGCGGGAGATATTCAACAGACTTTGAAATATCTATAACACGTAGGCTTAGATTACAAGATTCAAGATTTTCTCGATCAATATGCTGAAAAGCATGACGTAGGCAAAAACGAGAAAAGTCTTTGCCACAAGAATCCGTTTGATGTTGTTGTCGTTTACGCTTTCTACTACTACTACTACTAGTCGATTGAGCAGTGGACCAATTCTCAGGTGTTAAGACTGTAGAAAAACTACGCTCACAAAATTTGCACAATACAGATAAAATGACAGAATGTGAACTAGGTAACGACGTTTGACAGTGGAATAAAGAGAAAAATGATGAATCACATTGTGGGGAGTCTATACAATGTTTTGTAAAGCCTCTGATTGAAGAAAATCCAGTTTGACAATTTGAGCATATTAGTGAGCGATGAATTTTTAGCCCTTGTACAATCAAAACCTTTCCATAGGTGTAAAGGGGTTTACCTTGAGGATGTTGTAAAGCATGGTGATAGGCACACATTAACTAAAAAACATTTTTTGAAAAAAAAAAGAAATTATTCAAAAAATATTTACATATTGTTTTTTGAATTACGCATTCAATGATACTTCATGCATAAAAATCAAACAAATTATACGATCAATAATATTATGAAGTCTGGAAACGCGAAGTTCAAGGCAAACAGCACAGTTGTGACAGCAATCGTTTGAATGGCAATCAAACACTTGTACATTTTTTAATTTCTTATACCACACCTTTATTATACCATGATCAACAGTTTATTCTCCTTCTTCTTCTTACAATTTCCGAATTAAACTGTTGGTCAGATGATGTTTCTCCTTCATAAGGTGGTATTGAAAACGATGGGTTGTGGATTCGCTGACATCCTCCTTCTAAATAATTCACAATGATGCAAGCATGTACATATATATATATGTAGTGCAGCACCTTGAATGTTTTGAGTTTTAGTTTTAACTCATACATGTACGATGACGCCAGGCCATATTTTTTCTTGCTTGGGTGCGCTTCTACTCTGTGCTGGTAAACCGTGCATACTAGCCAGATAAGTCCTAAAATCTTCCCCCTCCCTCAGCCTTAATAATCTTAACATCTATATTTCGCTTAAATATATTGTTCAGTAGAGCATCCTGCTAAATAACTGTATCTTCAGATTTTTGCCTGGTTGTCAGTGCGTTTGAGATAGGTAACATGATTAAGTGATAGTTGGGCTCATTAAGTTTATTAAGCCTGGTATTTTGTGATATAGTAATCGCTACAGCTACTTACCGTATATATATATATATATTATATATATATATATATATATATATATATATATATATATGGTCCTTATTAACAATCAGATGTCAACCTCAAGTTAACTCAAATCAGAAGATTATGTTGCGTCTCACTACTCAGTTACCTTAATATGGTACACTTTGAATAAATCTATAATCGGCCGGCAAACTCGACTGAAGACATGACAGCCCACAAAGCATATATAGAACAGAACACACATATATACTGAATCACACTAGTAAACAAACGTGTGGAAGGTAAAATAACTTACTGAACATATTCAGGGTCTGTCTCCATGATACATATAGCGGATATGTTTCCATCATTGTAAATTAAAGGGATTTCATCGAATATTTGCAAACCCTTAATTTCCAATACCACATTAAGCGCCCCATTTTGATAACCTATACCTACCTACGTGAATCTCATCATCATGAATATCTGCTATTTTGTAGTCTGATCACCCTTAAATTTACCCTCCAACCCGATCACTATCCGGATAACTTAGTTTTACCAGGAGAGTAGCACTTCTGCATGCACAAAAAACAGGTCTCAACAACCCTAGTTGGTAAAAACTCACAACGTTATTCTTAACCCAACCCCCTACATGTAATCGCAACATTACTGGGCCTTGTTGTTGTTCCAGACAATATAAGCAATATTAGAACGACAAGAAGACATTGAAGTAAGCCCCTTGATAGGACTTGGTATTTAAGAATTATATTTTTTTAGTGCTATCTTAAAACAACCCCAGTTATTAACCATATTCTTGTTCTTCCCCCTTTTGCTATCCTCTACAACTCATCGTCCGAAAATTAATCAAAATGTATCAATACATTTCCTGTGGTTCAAAACTAATCTCATCTCATTTTTTGTGAATTATTACTTGATATAAACGGTAAGCTAACACAAAGCAAGAGAAGAAAGTAGAAGAAATGCATAATATAGACAGTAAACAGAGGTGTGAGACAAAGGAATAGTAATAACGGAGAACAAAACAGTTTAGTTGGAAATCATAAGTCACAAGGAGTGGATGCATCTGCGCCAGCCATTTAGAACGATTTGGAGCCATGTCACCAATTGTTTCCAACCGTTGGTTTTTACCGTCCCGAGGACCCCAACCAGTGAGGAAGTCTACACCTTCCTACATGGTTGGCTTAAACTAACTGTTGTGGATTTCATTGACTGGTGCCATGTTTTCGTTTGACCGCCGCTAGCTAGCTCTTTCCCAGCCTGGCCCTATATCATCCAACGTTGCCCATTGTCGAGGAAGGCGATGACTAGGCATACGTAACACATGTCCTAACCATCTCAGTCGAAGTAGTTTCACCGTTTCGTCGATTGATTTCCCTGCCTTACCTAGCACTCGACCGATGCCTTACCTCAATATTGCTCACCATATTATACCACTTCACGCGGGAGATAGAACGCAGACACACCTATGATCGAAGACAGCTAATCTTTTCATGTCTTCTGCTCTCAATGGCCATGTCTCACTCACGGCCATAAAGGAGGACGGAGCGGATTGATGAGCAGTACACACGCCCTTTGGTTGATAGTTATGACTTCTACTATTACAGAAGTTGGACGAGTAAACATGAGTCATCTTATTCTGTATATACAGATTTTCTTCTAAGACACAGTAACACATCTAGAAATTAAGAATAATTCAACACGTACTAATATTCGTAGTTAAGTGAAGTTACGATTGGTGTAAAATTGGCCAATCATGTTACCTTAAATTACAGGTTTTTACACTTGATAGGCATAACAAGCAAATGAACAAGAGCAGTATTATCGAAAACCCTGTGATATTTTCACGTATTTTTTATCCACCTGCTAAGTATTACAGTCTTAAGGTGGAATATATATATATATATATATATATATATAGAACACCTACACAGGTCTGTCGTTAAGAAGCCAAATACTTTATCAACGCCAAGTTGTTGTTTGCTAGATCATCTGAAACCTAGCTGATATAACCTCCCAAATGAGTATATTAAACACAATATGACTACCCGGAGTCTTTTTGAACTATAAGTCGATGCAGGCCAATCCTGTAGTAATAAACCAATTACACAAACACACACACACACACACACTGATCATTGCACTGATTAAGGCACTCTACTCATACTCATGCCATCAGCCAGGTGAGGGCTTATGGCGAGTTGTCATCTGAAGTGGTGACGACCAGTGGCGTCCGTCAAGGATGCCCATTATCCCCATTCCTATTCAACTTCATCATAGACGTACTAATGAAATTAACCCTAACACACTTCAGCGACTCAGGGATTGACTTGCTACCAGGGAATAATCTCGTTGACTTAGAATATGCGGACGATATAGTCCTTCTAGGCGAGGACTCTGACAAAATGCAGAGTCTACTGAACATCCTGAGCAACAATCTTCGTATGTTTGGCATGCGATTCGCCCCTGACAAATGTAAGATGATGCTGCAGGATTGGACTTCATCGACCCCTAGATTAGAAATAGGAAGTGAAGTGGAAGAGCACGTTGACCGCTTCACTTACTTGGGAAGTACCATCAGCCCCAACAGGTTGATCTCAGACGAAATCTCAGCACGAATACAGTGGGCTAGTTTCGCATATGCCAGTTTACGCCGTCTCTGGCGTACACGCGATATCCGACTACCGACCAAAGGGCGTGTGTACTGCTCAGCAGTCCGCTCCGTCCTCCTTTATGGCCGTGAGTGAGACATGGCCATTGAGAGCAGAAGACATGAAAAGATTAGCTGTCTTCGATCATAGGTGTGTCTGCGTTCTATCTCCCGCGTGAAGTGGTATAATATGGTGAGCAATATTGAGGTAAGGCATCGGTCGAGTGCTAGGTAAGGCAGGGAAATCAATCGACGAAACGGTGAAACTACTTCGACTGAGATGGTTAGGACATGTGTTACGTATGCCTAGTCATCGCCTTCCTCGACAATGGGCAACGTTGGATGATATAGGGCCAGGCTGGGAAAGAGCTAGCTAGCGGCGGTCAAACGAAAACATGGCACCAGTCAATGAAATCCACAACAGTTAGTTTAAGCCAACCATGTAGGAAGGTGTAGACTTCCTCACTGGTTGGGGTCCTCGGGACGGTAAAAACCAACGGTTGGAAACAATTGGTGACATGGCTCCAAATCGTTCTAAATGGCTGGCGCAGATGCATCCACTCCTTGTGACTTATGATTTCCAACTAAACTGTTTTGTTCTCCGTTATTACTATTCCTTTGTCTCACACCTCTGTTTACTGTCTATATTATGCATTTCTTCTACTTTCTTCTCTTGCTTTGCGTGCTACATGGAGGGAGTGTGGCGACTTGAACTGCCGCACATATGTGCAAATTTCTATGTCGAAAACAGACAGACAGACAGACACACACACACTTTTCTCAGGTATTAACTATTTAAACAAATCTCACCTTATCTGGGAATGTCAAATTGCACGTAGGACAACATATCACTGAATCATCAATACTCCAACCATAAATTCGATTAGGTGCATAAAAGATAACCCGTGGTTCTTTAAGTTCACAGGGTTTAGCAGCACCAGATTCATCCACATAATAAATTGGGGAGTATTTACTACAGGTTGAATGACTTGTTTGTTTCAAGTGCTCCACTGCATCTTCATTGGTCCCAAGAAAATCACAATTATCACATATAAAATAACATGCTGAAATGCATTGATTTTGACTTATAGATTGAAAGTAATTCTCTGTGATGCACACCTCATTTGATAGTCGTGAACAAACATGCTGAAAATCTTCCTCAAATATCATATTATCATAAATTTCAGAAGGTATATAAGGTTCTGACTTCAACATTATTTCATTTCTCATTTTATCACTCAGAGTTGAAAGAAACTGACGCTTGTCTGACTCGTCACCAGTCTCATCAAACGGATATTTCTCCCAGTTTTTCACGATTATATTAGGCGGGTATCTATAATGATCAGCATAGATTAATCTGGTCAAGGGATTTTTGGTCATTTGTCTTTTCCACCGTTCACGAAACTCACTACGTGCTTTTAACAACTCATCCATAGGATAAACAGGTAAACTTTGATTGTCAGAGGCTTTGGTAACTGGAGACATTTTGGAAGATGTCTGAATTTCTAGATTAAAAAGCCGAAAATAAACAGTAGGATTTCTTAAAACGAAAACTGAAGTAATGACTAAACCAAGAATTAATATGGTAAAAGGTAATTAAAATACAAATCCAGCATACAATAATTGTCTGATTTATGTAATTCGAATCCAATAGCCAACATCGTTTTTACGAGCTAGTATAAACCAATTTGATTTCTTTGCGCTCGCCTCTTGATTGTGAGGTATAGGTTCCTGACCTTCGGTAAACCTCCGCGTAGCTCGTCCCGCCACTCGACTATCGTAGCTTTGGTTGATTCCAAAGGAGTAGTGCTGAGATTAATTATGTGGTTTGTAGTGTATGGTGTGTTAAGACTGTTACTGCTGTGAATGGAGTTGATCCTTTCATCAGTTAGTCCTCCGGTATCGTCGTCAAAAGAAAAGAGATAATAAAAATAACAATAATAACACTAATAGACATAATTAGTGAAGTTATTCAGACAGAAAAAGAAATAAAGGAAACGTAACAACAGTCAGCTGATTAAATTTAAAGCATATATATCTATTCATATTTATAGGTAATGATAACAATAATAATAATGTGTAACTAAAGTTGTCAGGAGAGTAAGACGGGAGAGAATGTAAAGAAGTCAGTCGAAGAATTAAGAAGAACGCCCATGATTTCTGTATGGGAGTTTAAGACACTAGGCCATATGAACGCACTTATTGAGTCGCTTGTGGCGGCCTAAAAACATCAAATTATATGTTCACCGAAAAATAAGGAATTCAACCTTGAACCTTAAACCGTGCGCAAAATAAAAAATCAGTTGCTCTCCCTCCGGCGGCCACCTCAGCACATCTGCCGACCAACTCTGTCTCGCACTGGTTGACATATCCCCATCAAGAGCTTTGCTCCTATCTGCTTTACCCTACGCGGAGACCTCCGACGGTTGACAGCCCTAAGGTGTATTGGAGGATTTGTATAATCAAGAAAAAGACAATTACATTCCCATAATTTCGTACGTCTATAATTTGTGTATTTTGTGACTATTATAGGTTTTCTTCAAATAACCTCAGTCCTTTTTGTGTATATTAACTTAAGTGAACTGCATATCTTATATATACGTATTTGTTAATACCTGTTCTGTCCTTTTAATTGTGTGTATATACTTAGCTGCTAGGTCCACCACACGCTGCATGATCGTATAACCTTCATTTATCTCTGTCCATAGACAGTGCCCTAGCTACATCTGTCAGTAAGGAGTTACAGCGACAACAAACCCTCAGGGAAAAGAAGGGAGCCGCACCCGAGTCTTTGTCCTCTGGTCAGCTATCATTCTGGAATTTTCACAAGGAAGCTCATAACTACTCAATGGCAGGACACCTTTGTTTGGGTGATTATGGTCATTCGTTATTTTGTAGGCAGTAATCAAATCCCCCCTAAGCCGACGGTATCTAAGTGTGAATAGACCTAATTTTTTTAGCCTTTCATCATATGGTTTGTTTCGGAGACCAACCACTCCTTTTGTTGCCCGTGTTTGGACTCTTTCCAAGAGCTTGGCGTCTCTTCTTAGCAGTGGTGGTGCAATAATATTATGCACTTCAGGGTGTGGTCTGACGTGTGTATTGTACAACCTTAATAATAATAATAATTTGCTTTATTCCAAAACAGTACTTTGATACAGAATGGAATTCTCAGCATTTTTACTACAATATTGCATCCAGTTAGTACATTACCAATAAATAGAATTCAACATAGATTAAGGAAACCACAGTTCATTATTACAACAATACATTGGCATGTCGGTAGCAAAGGTAAAGCTGAATGGTGTTTGAAGGTGTCAGAAAAGTGGGAGCTGTCTTAATAAACTGGCGTAAGTGAGAGAAAGAAACAAAGCAGCACATAACGGAAAAAGAGGAGAGAGAGAAAAGGAAAAGAAAGAAAGAAAATGTTGTACCTATTGATGATGTGAGTTGGAAAGACGGGTTCCAGTTGTACTACTGACTATTTAATGAATTATAGGTGTCACGCCTAATGCCTAACCTTTGAAGGAGCTCAGGAGTGAGTGTGTAAAGTGTATGACCGCATATTCCCTCGCTACATCCCCCGTGTAATTTACGCTTGTGTCCATTTTCTCCGTTACAACTAGACCTAAGTCTCGCTTTGACGTTGTGCAGGACAAGCTTTCATTGCACACGGTTTAACTTGCATTCTGCGTCCTACAGGTGCGTAACTTCACTACTTTGCACTCTTTCAGGTTGGAAGTCATGCCACTGACCACCGCCCAGTCTTCCAGAAGGTTTAGGCCTGCCTGCAGTCTATCTCAGTCCTCCGGACACTTTATCGCTCTCCATATCTTTACGTCATCAGCGTATAGAAGGGTCGGGCAGCTTAGACGGTATGGTAGATCATTGATAAAAATCGAAAACATCAGTGGTCCTAGGATAGAACCCTGTGACGTCACTGATGACGAGCTGTGGCAAGATGATCGAACTCGATTGACCTTAGTGCAAAATTACCTTTCAGCTAGGTAGTCCTTTAACCATGACAGAAGTGGCTTACCTATACTCATAGGAGGTCATGGTGAACTGTGTCAAATGCCTTCTCAAAGTCTAGGAAGACCACATGGACTGGTATTTTAGACTTTCGATCTAGAAGTCTAAAAATTCCATCAGCCGCTAGTGAGGCATGTTTCATTTCTGGGCCAATATGTGATGTTCTACCAAGTGCTAGAGCTGCGAAACTGATAGCAGCGGAGACCCTGAATATTGCCATCAAAGTGATCTCTTCAATACTCATTAGATAAGCTCCACATGAAAATGCAGCTGGGTATGCACATATTGCTAATGATTGAGCCAAGCGTAGACAAATGAATGAACTATGAAGCTACGATTACCAGCAGTCATTTCCGAATTGAGTATAGAACAATACTGTTTATAAAAGTAATTTTCTAAATTATAAGCGTACATTGTTCTTGTTGAACTAAGAGCTTTATAAATAATACGGGCTGCTGCAGTCTCTTAATTGCCAGAAGAACGTTTACGAATTTGACGAAGCTGTAAGTAACCTGATAACATAATCACTGGGAAGAAAACTAACACAACTAAAGTCAATTTTCAATTATAGACGAAACCGATAGTTAATGAAGCTATCACTAGTACAATGGACTCAATTAATCGACTCAATGATACACCACAAAGTGTATTCACTTTATTTGCATCTGTTGTTAGCCTAACCAATAGAATACCTGGACTATGCTCTAGTTGATTATGCCATGCTACTTCTTGTTTCAACATAGATGCGAACAGATTCTCACGTAAACGTCTGGTTAACTTTTGACCCGAAACACCGAGAAAATAACTCTGACAAGTAGAGGAGATCAATCAAATTAATCCAAGTCCAGCTATAATACTTCAAATGAAATTAACTCTGGTTTGCATTTCATCTGGTTTTTCAGTTAAATTAAATATAGCATACATTTCTGAGTAAAGAACAGCAAAGACAGGTTGTAGACCCCCAGTGATTGATGCAGCTATACATCCTAAAGTCAAAACTTTCCATTCTGGTCGAGATAATTTCAATAAACGGCGTATAGATGAACAGAAACCACCACGTTTTATGCGAACATCAATCGACCTGGACAATTTCAGTGATACTTTACTTTAATTCATTTTATATTCACTTTCTTTTTCCCTTTTATGATTTATAATCGTCACACCACTATTACTATTATTATTTTTGATGTGATCTTTAAGTGGAGTTTTTTCATTATCCAATATTGTACCATCTTCAATTGGTGAGTATGTTTCACTGTTAACAGGTGGAGCATTTACTTCAGGCATTTCAAATTTTAATAATGCTGAATATAATCCACAAGTCGACGCAAGTTCTGTATGCGTCCCGCTCTGTTTAATACAACCATCTTCTGGGACAACGACTTTATCAGCATTTTGTATAGTTGATAAACGATGAGCAATAGTTATTAAGGTACGATTAAGCTTAATCTTTTCCAGAGCAGATTGGATCATTCTCTCAGAATGATTATCTAAAGCTGTAGTAGCTTCATCCAGGATTAGAATTTTCGGTTAACGTATCAGAGCACGAGCAGCAGAAATACGCTGTTTCTGACCAAAAGATAATTCTACACCGATTCAAGATATCATTGTTTTATAACCCTGAGGTAATTTGATAATGAATTCATGAGCATTGGCCATTTCGCTGCTTCCATAATATCATCATCATCATTACACACAGTGTCTTTTAAATACCCGAAACGTATATTCTCTGATATTGTTCCTGAGAATAAAATTGGCTCTTGTTGTGCAATTCCAATGAGTGAACGAAGCCAAACTAACATTTAATGTAGAAATGTCTGCATCATCGAAAACTATCATGCAATAAATCACAAGAGTAAAACAGTGACAGTGTGGCAAGTACCAAACCTGTCCATTAACGTGATCCTCTTCGACCATTTCACCGAGACCTAATTCAATATACTGAGACATTACATTAGTATACTCCTTGTGCAGGTCTGAGTCTTAACAGAGGCGTTTTCTCAACGAATTGAGTCTACTCATTGCCAGTTTTCTATTATTGGGTAAAATTTGTTGTCGACGCCATAGAAGTGCTATCTAATAATGTCCGTCAACTAACTGTATGAACTCTGACATAATACTTAGAGCCTTACGATCTTCAACCGACATGGGCACGTGACTACTCACATCGTCAAACTCATTCTTATGGAACCGTTCGAACATAGCCTCAATTTTTTCTGTAGCTAAGGTATGATTGACAATGCTAGTTTTTCCAAGGGTCTTCCTGCATGGTCCCAGTAATGTCCACCCCAAAGGAGTCTTTATGGCACAAGGTCCGTTAGCTCCACCAAGCCTTTTATCGGTAGTTATATGAGCTTCTGGCAAGTTGCAGCCAATAAGTAACTTAGTTTTTTCATTCCCAACCTCCAGTAAAACTATTCCATCTGGGGGACTCTATGAGACCATCTGATCTGCTGTTGGCACAACTCTTTGTACCTGTGGCAACCTCTGTACTGTCCATGCTTTGGAAACAGTAATAAGGGACGAATCCAACGGATAGACTTCTAGTTGTACCTGTTTGCAAGACAAAGTGGATTGTGAACCAAGTGTATTAAGGGAGACTGTCTTAGTTGCTCCTATTAAACCTAATTCTCTTGCTAGATCTTCTGTGATCAGTGTTGCGTCTGAAAGGCTATCCAAAAACGCACAGGTTTGAACAACAGTACCATTATATCTGGCTAAGATGGGCACTATAGCGAATGCTGTCTCACTTGTCGGAGTCTTGTGCAAAGTCATATCACTACACTGTTGAGCGTTAATATGCACATCATTTTTTATATCGTCGGATAATCCCTGGCTTCTGTGAAGCAACCTTCAATTGTACAGGACCTTGGAGAACGACAATTCTTTGCTATATGATTTGCTTTTAAACAGAAGTAGCATAGTTTTCTCTTGGAAACAAATGCCAGACGTTTATCAAGGTCTTTAGCTTTAAACTCCGAACACTGGTCTAGGAAATATCCTCCCGAACATAATATACAGGGTGGGATAAATAAACGTGACTCATTCTGAGGATCATCATTCGGTTTTTCCCTGAGAGCCGGGTAACAAACACTCGGTGTTTACAATCAGAGCTTTTCTTCGTAGGGATGCTAAACTCTTTACCCGTGGAATGGTCATTGATTAGCAGCCCATACCTGGTGTTAGCCATATCTAACTGCTCCTTAACAAACAAGCATATGTCGCCAAATGATGGTTCGCGACCGCTCTTTATGACGTTGCAAGCGACCTTTATCCATTCTATCTGTGAATGATCAGGGAGTTTTAGAACTAGTTGTTCAATAGTTTTACCAGAATTCAAGTCTAAAACATAGTTCATCTGCTTTAATGTCAGCTCGCAGGCTTGCATCTCGTGAGATAACTTTCTTAATAATGCTGCATCGTCGCTTTTAACATTCGGAAATTCCAGGAGTTTCTCTATGAAAGTCTGGGCCACAACATGCCTTTGCCCAAATGCTTCTTCTAACAGTTCCACGGCTTTATAATAACCTTCCTCTGGCTCTAACAAAACACAGTGTTTGATTACATCGTTTGCTTCTCCCTTACAATACTGAATTAATTAATTTAGCTTAGTTCGGTATCCAATAGCATCATTATCCACCAAGTCTTCAAAATTCGTTGTAAAATTCCAGTAATTAATAGGATTACCGTCTAACTTATTGATCTCTTTTAGGCATGTCCCGAAACTCATCGTTAGGAGATATAGCGACTGTATAAGAAGTAGAAGGCTTGTAGGGCGACTTATTATGATCAGAACATTCACGACTAGCTTATCGTAATCTTTCCAATTCAATTTCTTTCTCTATTTGGACTATACGCATTTTCACTAGCTCCAACTCAACCATACAGTTTAATTTATACTCGTGACTTCCAGGGACATAAGTCTCACTACTCTTTTCTGACTGTGGAGTTAACGTCGGCATAGTCTCATATTTTTCTGCCATTAGTGTTATAAACTTTGCCTACAGATTTAGTCCTTCCGATCAGTACTGACAACACAGTCTTGGCTTAATTATAGTTAAAAACACAGTGACTTAAGTCACGGGGAAAAAGTGGGCAATATGGGCAAAGTGGGTAAAATCGATTGCATTTACACCATCTTTTGCCCACCTGTCTACCCGTTTATCCCACGTTTTGCCCACATTGCCCAGGTACATTAACCGACTGGGTTAACTTAAACTTTACCTGTTTCTAAAACATAAAATTAATCATACAATTACACCAGGAGAAATATATAAACCCATTGTCATTCAAGAAAAGACAAAAACGTACCGAACATTATTGAGGGAACGGACAAAACGTGATTTAAAGTTTAAAAAGTGCGGGAACAAATTAACTAAACATCCGTTACAGCAAGCCTGGCCAAACACTCCTCTTCTTGCTCCAGTGGGTTTATAATGGTGTTCGTTTCTGCAGAAGAAGAAAATAAAACTTATTTAGTGTTATTATACTAGTTTTTGTCCCATTACAGGTTAATTAATTGCATATACACACAAATAAAGTGATAGAAAAACATGAACACCCAAGTCAAATCACGTGGTGTGAGTTAATAATAATAATCTGCTTTATTCCAAAACAGTACTCTGATACAGAATGGAATTCTCAGCATTTTTACTACAATATTGCATCCAGTTAGTACATTACCAATAAATAGAATTCAACATAGATTAAGGAAACCACAGTTCATTATTACAACAATACATTGGCATGTCGGTAGCAAAGGTAAAGCTGAATGGTGTTTGAAGGTGTCAGAAAAGTGGGAGCTGTCTTAATAAACTGGCGTAAGCGAGAGAAAGAAACAAAGCAGAACATAACGGAAAAAGAAGAGAGAGAAAAGGAAAAAAGAAAGGAAATGTTGTACCTGTAAATGATATGAGGTGGAAAGATGAGGTCCAGTTGTATTACTGTATTACTGACTACTGAATGAATTATAGGTGTCACGCCTAATGCTTTCATTATCTCACAGAACATGAGCTAAGTAGGGTATGGTTGAGATTTTGTACTTGCTGATGCGAGCATATAGTTTTCTATATAGGCTTCTGCTTTTGCCTGATGAGATGCAAGGGGAGAGTTGTGAGTGAAGAGGGTGGTGTGAGTTAGATAAAATGGATTTGGCCCATTTTTCACATTACATTAAATTAACCAATAATCGCGACATAAAGGTCACATTGTATTCACTGGCTGTCTATCATACGGTCTGTCTATCAGTCAAGATTAACAAGGCCCACAGAGAGCTTCGGTGCACTGTTTAAAAACAGATGGCCTGATGTTGTCACAACCTGGGGACTTCACAGGTGTGAGTCGCTGTAGCTTCACTAGCACTATTGCCGGGTTATTTGGGGAGTAGCCACTAGGTCCTCCTCCTCTGAAATGGCAGTGCCACCATTTTGGTCCTTACCGGTTTGACTGTTTGGCGAAGGCCAAACTGAATGTTTCCGCCATCTCCAGACTAGTGAGGTATTGATCGTCCGGACCTACGAAGGCAACTGCACCCTGGTTGGTTGGTTTTCTCTCCGACATTAATCGGTACCGGCTTCTGGGGTTCGCCAAGTTGTTTTTGGCAAGGCTGGTCTGAAATGGCTTCCTGCCACTCCTGATTCTCACGTTGCACTGTATTCTAAGTTCCAGGTATGCATCGTGGTCGGTTTGACTCTTGGATATTCGCCATGTAGACCAAGCCTTCCGCTTTGCTTGCAGAATACGTTGCGTACCTCTCTTCAGCCACGATGACTTTCTTTTGGTCTGTGTTGTGACTAGGGGGACGGTACCCTAGATTGCTGTGTGAATGATCTCTTTTACCATTTCCACCGATAACTCATGCCATTCGATGAGTCATTCTGTATCGGACAAAAACCTCCGCATTTCAGCATAGTCCGCCTTCTTATAGCACATACATAGTTGCGTGCCGTCTCACTGTAAGTGCCCACTGAGAACAAGATCGAAAACTATGGCTGCATGGTCACTACTTCCTGGTGAAGTCATGATCTGGACCTTTCCGATGAGTAGTTGGTCACTGGTCAGAATATAATCTAGTTTCGATGACTTTCCGCTAGGTCCCCACCTAGTGTTGTCTCCAACATTCTCAGTCAGCTCTGTATTTCCCATGGCTTGTAATGGATGCCGACCGAACTTCCCCTGAGCATACTCCGGGCCAAGGTCCAGGGATGAGGCATTGAAATCTTCAGAGATGATAATTTGGTCATAGCTCAAGTACTGTATCCCTGTGATGGTGCTGAGCAGTAGCTGGTTGTGATCCACCCCACAGGTGGGTGGTCGGTAGATGCCACCCAGTAAATGATTGGCGTGGCCTGCGGTGAAATGACACCATATGGAGTCTGGGAGTTCAATAAGTGGTGGGTCCGTTCATTCAAGTTGCTTGTCAAAGTATATAGCAACTCCCCCCTTCCTTATTATCCCTGTCTCTCCTGACCGGA